TAAATAATAAACTTTTTCTTATTTTCCTCTTTGGTTTCGATCGTCTCTTTTCTTCTCCTTTTTTCTTTTTTAAAAACTTTAAATTTTTTTATTTTATGTCTAAAACGATAGTTTTGCAAATAAGCTAACTTCAAAAATAAGGAATTTCTAGGGGTTTAAGGATAAACTTTTTACAATTTTAAGCTTATTAAATTTTTGGATATTTTCTATAAACTAGAGGGTTTACAATGGTGTTTACTGTTATTGTGTTTGCAACAAAAGAAAAGTATTTATAGTGCAAAAATTAGGGCACAGAAAGAGAGAGAGAGCAGCACTCTTGCTCTTCAAATCCAAATTGTTCGAGTTGCAATTTCTCGGCGAGAATTCTTTCGAATTTCTCGGAGCTACTCTTGTAATGGTATTCCCTGATCTCATTTTTGGTATCTCGCATTTTGGTTGGGCAATTTCAACCAGAGATTATTGTTCATCTCATAGCAACACATGAGCTTCTACGAAGGATAAATTTGAAAATGTCAAGTGTTTAGATGACGCTGTGAGTCTTTTCCGTCGAATGGTCAGAACACAGCCTCTTCCTTCTGTTTTCGACTTCTCCAAATTATTGAAGACTATGGTAAATATGAAGCATCACTCTTCTGTTGTTTCCCTTTTTCGAGAAATGCGGAAATTGGGCGTCCCAATTAATGATTACATCTTGAATATAGCGATTAACAATTATTGCCTAATGTATCATTCTGACTGCGGATTTTCAGTGTTAGCCATTTACTTGAAGACTGGCATTCCATTTGACATTATCACCTTTAATACATTATTGAGTGGAATTTTTGCTGAAAATAAGATCAAAGATGCAGTTAACTTGTTCAAAAAGTTGATGAGGAAGAATATTTGTGAGCTTGATGAAGTCACGTATTTGATAGTCATGAATGGGCTTAGCAAAAGGGGCCATACTAAAAAAACTTTCGATTTGCTAAGGGTAATGGAAGAAGGAAGCATCAAGCCTGACACAAGCTCTTTGCAAGGATAGAATGATAGATGATGCAATTAGCCTTTCAAAGAGATGAAAAAAAAAGGTATTCCTCCATATGTTATTGCATATAGTTCATTGATTGATGGTCTTTGTAAATTTGGTCTGTGGGAGAAGGTTAGGACTTTGTTCTTCGAAATGGTAAATCTTAATATTTATCCAGATGTCCGCACCTTCAACATACTGACAGATAAACTATGCAAAGAAGGAAAAGTTGAAGATACTGACGAGGTAATGAGACACATGAATGGAAAATGTGTGGAGCCTAATGTGGTCACCTACAATGTGATAATTGATGGATATTGCTTGCGCGGTCAAATGGATAGAGCAAGGAGCCTTTTTGATTCCATGATTGATAAGAGCATTAAGCCTGACATTATTAGCTATAGCACACTAATAAATGGATACCGTAAGAAAAAGAAATTGGATGAGGCCATGCATTTGTTTTATGAAATTTCTCGAAATGGACCGAAACCTAACATTGTTACCTACAATACTATCTTGCAAGGTCTATTTGAAGTTAGAAGAACTGACTTTGCGCAAGGATTCTTTGCTGATATGCTATCCACGGGGCCCGGACCTGATTTATGTACTAATCGCATTTTGCTCCGTGGTTATTTTCATAATGGACTTGTTGAGAAAGCTATGTTGCTATTTCATGAGTTGGAAAGAAAGAGAGAAGATAGTGATATTGAATTTTACACTGTTGTAATTGACGGATTGTGCAAAAATGGTCTGCTCGAGAAAGCTCATGCTACTTTAATTGGATTGTTTCTCAATGTGATAACATACAATAAGATAATACATGGATTTTGTCTAGAAGGGTTGTTAGATGAAGCTAAAGATATGCTTAGAAAAATGGAGCATAATGGTCATTCGCCTGACAACGCCACTTACAATATTATTGTGCGAGGATTTCTCAAGTTTGGCGAAACTAGTGAAATGACAACTTTTTTGAAGGAAATGACTGGAAGGGACTTCTCATTCGATGCAAGTACAATAGAGTTACTAATAGATGTTATGGCGAAGGATCCTTCTTTGCTTAACATGATACCACAGTTTCACTCGGGAAATAAGAAGTGATATGGATTTCATTTGATTTATTCAGCAATACTTATCACTATGATGCATTTTTCTCTTACCTATGGAAAAGAAATAACATCTAATGGAATTGCAGAAGATGAAAGAATGGAAATTAGAACATTGCTTGAGCTTTCCAAGCCAACTTATTGAGGAGGTACATCAGTTTTGATATTTTGATTGTTGTGCCACTCTACTTTATTTTGA